GATGTCTTCTATATACATTGTATTTTGTATAAAATTACACATTTTTGGTCATCTTTTTCTGACAATTTCAGTTATACTTAATATAACTGTGAGTGTATTTTGTTAACATGAATGATAATCATGTGCCTTCTGCTTTAAAAAAAAAAAAATTCATACATAGTCCTCCCTTATCTTCCAAGGCTATGACCCACAGTGGATGCCTGGAACTGTGGCATACATATATATACACAAATGGTCCCCAATTTATGGTTGTTCACCTGAAGATTTTCAACTTCATGATGGTGCGAAAGCCATATGCACTTGCTAGAAACTGTACTTCAAGTACACAGATACCATTCAAGTGTTTTTCACTTTCAGTACAATAAATTACATGAGATAATCAACCTTTATTAGAAACTGGGCTTTGTGTTAAATTATATTGCCCAAGTGTAAGCAAATGTTAGTGTTCTGAGCACATTTAAGGTAGGCCAGGATAAGCTACGATATTCAGTATGTTTAAATGCATTTTCAACTTAAGATAGGTTTGTCAGGACATAACCCCATTGTAAGTCAAGGCCTATCTATACTCCGGTTTTTCATTTCTACTCAAGCCAGCTAACAGGCAGGTAGGGTCTACAGTGTGGATACACTGGACAAAGAGATAATTCACATCCTGGGTGCCACAGAGCAAGCGGGCAGTAGATTTTCTCATACTACTCAGAACGGCATACAATTTAAAATGTATTAATTTATTGTTTATTTCTGGAATTTTGCATTTAATATTTTTGGACCATAGTTGACTGTGGGTAACTGAAACTGAGGAAAATGAAATGTAGATAAAGGGGGACTGCTGAATGTCTTTTTGACTCATGAGTTTTCTCTTCCCATACACTAGATGCCTTAGAACCTATTACATTAGCACTTTGGATGTCATTTGCATTCCTTGTACTTTTCTAAAATTCCTCATTCTGTGAGTATTTACAGGTTTTGTAGGAATTGAAGATAATCTTTTTTAAGAGCTAGTTGCTTAATGAATTTTTTAAAAAACACTAAATGGGAAACTAATCACTGGGAAATATTTGGATGAAGTCCTGGGATGTGGGTTACATTTTCATTTAAAATGAATGTAGAAGAGTTTCTTTGTCTTTAGACCAGTGGAAAGCAATGCTGTTGTTGTGGATTTATTTTGTGTTTGTTTCTGGTTCCTAAACAGAATTGAAGGTTGTCCACTCTAGATGACATAGTACAGAAAGATTTTCATAAACCTCAAGAATTTTGACTTTGAGGAGCATTATCTTTCTTGTGACTGAATTTTTTTCTTCTTTCTTGAAATTAATCCCTTCATATGTGTTAGACAAGTGTTCTGATTAGAGTTAATTCATGTAGTTTTTAATTACCCTTTATTAGTATTTCTTGATAACAAAACTCTTTTTATTCTTGATTATTGTTGGAGTTTGAGGGGTCTTTTTCCTGCCTTATTTCTCAACCAATTGAGAAACAGACAAAGGAGCCAAGCAGATGGAGATCAAAATAGCAGTCCTTTCCATCCATGGAACTATTGGAGAGAAGGTGATTTAAGAGAACAGCATAAAGAGCTTAGTAACACTGAACCCCAGAATGAGAAAGATTTCACCATCCAGTCCCAGGCCATGCTGGAGAGCAAAGCACCCAAGTATTTTCTGCTTGTGGGCTGATCTCAAAGAGAAATGTGCAGTTGAAAGTGACTGGCCCTCACAGACTTACCCATCAAGTAAGTCATCATCAAGTGGGGAGGCAGAAGCTGCAGTGGAACTTCCACAGGTGCAGCTCTAGTTGGGGAGCTAATCCAGATGAGATTGTGGGAAAAGACCGGTCATGACTGGGAGACTTGAGTTTTTTGAATGTTAGAAGCAGCCCAATGGCAGTATCAGGGCTACAAGAACTTTGCCTATAGCCGAGGGCTCTGATAAACTCACCCTTTCACAGGGAGAAATAAAGACTAGCAGAGCAGCATTTTTGTTCTTGTGAATGCCTGCATTCAAATTTGCAGGGGCCTATTTTTTTTTTTTTACTGGTTGAGTTTTCACTTGACCATCTTCTAGAGATCAGCATGCTGCAACCGTATTGGTTGTACTATGTAGATTATGGGAGAGTGAATGGTTCTGCTCTCAAGAAGCCTACATCCTGGTTCATAAGTAAGTGCTAAATTGTACTGTATGGACTATTCATGTTACAGAAGTTCGAAGGAATTGGAAAGCAATAAAAACTGAACTAGTCCAAGAAGACTTTATGGAAAAAATAAGCCTTGAGCTGGGCTTAGAACAATAGATTTGATCTGGATAGGTGAGGCGGTAGTGCAAGACAACACTTAAAGCAAAGAGGCATCTGTGCCCTCACTTTTGCTGTCCCGTCACCTTAAGTGGGAAATGAGATTACAGGGCCAGAGAAGGCCCTGTTTGTAGACAGAGCCTCGAAAACAAAACAAAGCAGAGGACCAGAGACTTGTGATCTGCAACTGAGATATTTTTTTTTTTTTAAGCAGAAGAGTGATGTCATTGAAAATTACTTTGGCAGGGAGGTACCTAAGGGATATTCAAGGAAGGAGATAAATTAAGAAACAAAAGTAATCTAAGACTGAGGGAATAAATGCTTAGCCTAGGGTATGCTCATGGCCATGGGAATGAGAAAATGGAGAAGAGAAAAATAATCAAGAATTGATTAACTGGATCTTCAGTATGTATTAAGTGAATGAAATGATTGAGAAATAGACAAAGGTGTCTGTGAGGTTTTAAGAATGCACTGTTGCAACAGTGATAGCTACCCTTAAGGGAAACTGGGAATGAGATACACTGTTGCTCATAGATGTGAAAACGGAAGCCAAGCAATGCATATGTTCTTCAAGACTGATGTTTATTCCATTTCTATTTCCTTTTTTAAAAGTTATTTGGATGGATTTTATGGGAACCAGATAGAATCTCTCTCTAGTGTGTGTGTGTGTGTGTGTGTGTGTGTGTGTGTGTGTGTGTGTGGTTTTCTTGTTTGTTTGAGATGGTGTGTGTGTGTGTGTGGTTTTCTTGTTTGTTTCGAGATGGAGTCTCGCTCTGTCGTCCACGCTGGAGTGCAGTGGTGCGATCTCGGCTCCCTGCAACCTCCGCCTCCCGGGTTCAAGGGATTCTCCTGCCTCAACCTCCTGAATAACTGGAATTACAGACACACGCTACCACGCCTGGCTAATTTTTTTGTATTTTTAGCAGAGATGGGGTTTCGCCATGTTGGCCAGGCTGGTGTTGAACTCCTGACCTCAAGTGATCTGCCTGCCTTGGCCTCCCGAAGTGCTGGGATTACAGGCGTGAGCCACCATGCCCAGCCTCTCTAATGTGTTTCATGTGCTTCCGTACTGGGTGCCTGATGTTCTGACCACCTAGCATTTTCCCGCTCCGCTTCTGTTAATATCACCCCACATAAGGAATGCGCCTCCCCCAACATCTCCTTATGGCCTGACAGGGCAGCCAATCATGGCCCCACATACATCTGGCCACAGTAATAGGGCAAAGGGGTGAGTACATGACTTCAACTGTGCTGATCAGATTCTCTGTCTCAGGAATTTGAACCTTGAAATGAAGAACACAAGGTCAGAGAACATAGTGCCGAATCATCAGAGAGAGAGAGTCTGGAAGTTCTGCAATTGAAACCCAGGGTTCAGTCCTCCTCTCTGACCTGAAGGCTTGAATGTTCTCTTTCTGAGGCTGAGAGCTCCTTCGTGTTCTTCCAATAAATGTCCCAAGCCCTTTTTTAAAAGGACTGTTTTTCTTGCTAGTGAAGAAAAGAGTAAATTGATATGCATCTATTATATCTTATTCTTTTTCCCTTTTAACTTTTATTTACCTATTGGTAGTTGCTTAGTATTTTTAGGAGCATATATGATTTGCAAAGAAAATGAGTTCTCATACAATTCCTTTTAGGATTTGGATAGGAAAAGTAGTTGTTTTCTTTTTTTTTTTTTTTTTTTTGAGATGAGGCCTCACTCTGTTGCCCAGGCTGGAGTGCAGTAGTAAAATGACAGCTCACTGCAGCCTTGAACTCCTGGGCCCAAGTGACCCTCCGGCCTCAGCCTTCCGAGTAGCTAGAACTACAGGCACATGTCACTATGCCTGGCTAATTTTTTATTTTTTATTTTTGAGATACAGGATCTCCCTATGTTGCCCAGGCTGGTCTTTAACTCCTGGACTCAAACAGTCCTCCTGCCTCAGCCTCCTAAAGTGCTGGGATTATAGGTGCGAGCCACTGCACCCAGATGTTTTTCTTTCTTATTATTAAAATACCAGTAGTTTACTTAATGGCTATGGAGGTAACTATATCATGATGATAATTTTAATCTACCTTCCCCTCAGCCCCCACTTCCAGTAATGTGATTAATGTTAATAGTAAGAAATGGCAGACATGGCCATGTTATTGGAGGAAGTATGAGCAGAAAATGTGTTTGGAACTTTTTTCATTTGCACTGCATGTTCCAATAGTGCTACTTTCATTGATTTTTGTTTTCTTCCTTGTTATTGGTTAATATTATTTTCTACCCAATGTTCATATTTTAATGATAAGTACACTAATATTAATGTACTTTTTCTGCCCCATATTAATAGTTTTCTATTTATGAGCTTTATTTTATATAAAGTGATTTATATTTGATGATTTATTTTATTTTATTTTATTTTATTTTTTTATTTTTTTATTTTTTTGAGACAGAGTCTTGCTCTGTTGCCCGGGCTGGAGTGCAATGGCCGGATCTCAGCTCACTGCAACCTCTGCCTCCCGGGTTTACGCCATTCTCCTGCCTCAGCCTCCTAAGTGACTGGGACTACAGGCGCCCGCCACCTCGCCCGGCTAGTTTTTTTGTATTTTTAGTAGAGACAGGGTTTCACCGTGTTAGCCAGGTTGGTCTCGATCTCCTGACCTCGTGATCCGCCCGTCTCAGCCTCCCAAAGTGCTGGGATTACAGGCTTGAGCCACCGCGCCTGGCCTGATGATTTATTTTAAACATATGATCTTGATTACAGTTGAGACCTTTTTCCTTACAGTTAATGTTAAATATAAAGGTACGTTTTTCCAGAAGTTACTTTGGGTGGATTGTATTCAGGGCAGGCTTCAAATATGGGCTAATGTTGGAACTTTTGGGGTCTGCCTCTTCTCCGAAAAGTGGCATGGTTTCATGGACAGAAAGGAATTAGGAGAATATCTAACGCTTTCAACAGTACTTTCTAGAATGGGCATGTCTCAGATGTTTATCAGGTTCTTGATACATTCGACCCTACGACTTTCTGTTAACTAGTGCTCCCTAGATCTACAGCAATTTATTTGTCTTTAATTCATACAGGCAATATTCTTAGCATTGTTTTGTGGTTTAAAGTTAGTCTTTAACACTTTTCAAATAGCACTCAGAAGAGTAGTTTTCTGTAAGAGAGCTCATGGCCTGTCTGACTTCCTAAATATAATAACTCTCAGATATTAGAGTTAATGCCTGTTTGATTTTTTACTCCATTCTTTTACACTGTGTGTATGAATTAGCTTCTGTTGTTGTTGTTGTTGTTGTTGGTTGGTTCTTTTTTATACTCTCAAAAATAATAGTTTTTGATTAAAATTTTAATTTCAACGTTTTGGGGACAGTTGGGAAAATTTGATATAATAAGCTTACTTCCATGGTGTTATCATTAGGATCAAAAGAGATTATAGGCCAGGCGTGGTGGCTCATGCCTGTAATCCGAGCACTTTGGGAGGCTGAGGTGGGCAGATCACATGAGGCCAGGAGTTTGAGACCAGCCTAGGCAACACGGTGAAACCCCATCTCTACTAAAAAATATAAAAATTAGCTGGGCGTGGTGGCTGGGGCCTGTAGTCCCAGCTACTTCAGGGGCTGAAGCTTGAGAATCCTTTGAAGCTGGGAGGTAGAGGTTGCACTGAGCTGAGATTGTGCCCCTGCACCCCAGCCTGGGCAACACAGCGAGACTCTCTCAAGAAAAAAAAAAAAAAAGAGAGAGAGAGAGATTATATATTAAAGAGGAACAAGTCCGTATTACGAGAGTGGTCCCAGGAAAGTGAACTCAGATCACTGCTGGCAAAGATAATTGATGCCATACCCCCACATCAAAGCTTGTTTCACATTCGTGCCTCAGAAAAAGTACAAGCCCCTCTCAAATGCTTGAAGTTTCAAAGATTAGACCCACCCTTGGCATAGACAGATTTTAGTATAATACTCCTAAAACTACACTTTTTTTTTTTCTGTCATAAATGTGCATTGTGCTCAGTCATTTATTGCAGTGACCCAAACAGAGCCCAGTCCAGCTGTTTGTGTTTGCCCTGTAGTGAGAAGTGGACTAGGGCCATGTGACTAAGAAAGCCAGACTGGGGACTGTCTTTTCACCTACAGATGTTTTAATGTGCTTAACATTATCCAATACTAGCAACCGAAATAGTCTAAATACCACAGCAGGATCTGATTAGCTTTTTCAGATCACTGCCTTTATTTGCTGTTTGCAAAAAAGCTTAATCCAGTGCTAGAGATCAGGCTTCCTGCTGAGCCCTGGGGTAGTTTCTCTCATTCTTTGTGTTCACAGTGGCAGGCATTAGTGAGCAGATTCCTCCTCCTCCTAAATTAAAGCTGTGAAGTAGTAACTATAGTAGCAAGGGATAAAGAGAAGGAAGAAAACCCAAGGGAAAAAAGAAGACTGTCTATTCATACCAAGTACTTTCCTTGATATATACAAAAGAAAGAGTTTCTAATATGAATTCGTAAATACTGACCTCAGTGTCTCTTCTAGTCAGTGCACAGCTATTAAGTTTTATTAGGTTTCAGTTGTAACGACTTTGTGTGGATGCACGTTACGTTTTTCATATTTATCCTACTCAATCAATCTCAGTTTTACCAGAAGAATTACATTTATTAGCCATAACAGTGGCCTTTCTCTTATTCCTTTCAGTGCTGATATATTTTTTACTCAGGAGATTTCAAAAAAACTATCACCACCATCAAAAAAAAAAAAAAGATAAAGTCTTTCTTCATTTTTGGGACATCCATATGCTTACCCAAGATGTGACATTTGAATTCGGTGTAATTCACACTGTAATTTGCAATAAATGATAATACTAGAGATGTTTTATCTTGATCCTTGATGGGTTTATGAAATTAGACCATTGCCTTAACTATATCAATAATATTGCTATAACCTTTTGGTCTTACTTTAGAAATTAGTTTGTCATTCAGAACCCAGTAATTATATTTAGTTCAAAAATATTTTCACTGATTTTTAAATTTCCTACCATTTTTGGAATGGCATATATCAATAAAATATTGGAACTCTCTTGAGGAAGTATCTGTAAACAAATGATGATCTGTAATATGGTACTTTATCTTTTAGTTTTCTTTCTGGAAACAACAATAATTTTCAGTTTTTAGTAGTCAGAAGAAGTGTTTTCTGTGCAATAACTGAAAAATCTTAACTATATAGATCTTCTTATTTTGTAAATAGAGATGATCTCATTTGCATTTGAGTAGGCACAATAAGGACAAGGCCAGGAGTCCCAAACTAGTGTTACTTTTTTCCAACTATTCACAAACGATCCTAATTGTGTGTAACCTCTGTATTTGTGTATAAAAGGAGATTGATTTTGATTGTTTTGGGTACTTTTCATATCTTTAGAATTCATGATCATATAATGAAAAAGTGTAGGCTCTGCATAAATCAGCCTATAGCAGAAAATTGTATGTTAAGAGCAGTTCTTTGCCTTCACTGTTTTAATTTGCACTGGAATGAAAAGGGAATGTGCATGCTTGTGTTCTACATCACATAAGTAAATAGTAGAACAGCTATAGAGCTCCTTTTTCTTTAGTAGGGAAATATCCTTACAATGCCTTGTAGTGTTTACATTTTGATTGATTTTTTTTGTTGTTCATAATCAGAGGCCACTCAAGGTATAACTTATGCAGCCCACAAAAGCAAGTAGTCCACAGTATTATAAATGCTGCAGCCTGAAACTTTGAAATAAATCGGGATAACAAGTTTACTCACCAAAGGGGCTTATTTTTATATACACTGTACACTACAGAAAGTCATGGTTAACTTGTTCCTGAGCTAAAATTTGAGTATTACATCTTACACATTTTATGAAATACAAATGCTTTAAATAGTTATGTTGTATATTAAAATATAATGACTTTGCTTCTCTTTAATTACATGGTTAACTAGTATCTGTAGTAAAACAATTTTACACTGCTACTTGGCATACACAGGATAGGTTATTCTGATGATTTTAGGTTGAAGTTAAATAATTCTGTCTAAATCTACAGTTTAGATGACTCATTTGGCACAAAGTTAGATAGAACTTGTGTTTTATCTTACTATGCTAGAGTTTCAGTGAATTTTTAAAAATCAGTTCTATTTGTGATCTCTTAAGTCTTTTTCTTTCGCAATTGTATTTGCATCATCTCTCCTTTTTGTTTTCTTATCTTGCAGCAAATTAACAAATGCTTAAAAATACAGATTTTCCACTATTTCCAGGGAAATAGTTTGACTATACCCTTCTGTCTCATTTCACCAGTAACTCATTTATTAAAGACAGGGATTACTGCAGTAGTTAATTGCTACTTTGACACACTTCATTTTCTTTCTTTAATAAAAATGAAAAGCTCATAGACTACAGTATAGCCTCAACTTTTTGGAAACATGCAACTTTTACTACTTTAAAATATAATTAGTTTCTTTGTTTCACGCATTGAAAACTAGGAGGAAAAGCTGAAGTCTGCCCAAGCCAGGTGTTTCTTGTTGGCAGCCTGCTCTCTAATGACTCCGCTCTCATAGAGCAGCTGCCTACTAGTCAGCTTTGTATGGCCTATTGTTGCTGCACACCCCTCGTTAATACACATGCTGCCCGGGGCAGACCCTGCGAATGACATCAACTTGCTTATCTTAGAAACCTACAAACCTGACGCAGGGTGCTGAGGTTGTCTTGCATCTGCCCGGCCAACTAATTGTGAGCTTTCTGGCCTATGATTGGCTGTGATTCCACTCGGTAATAGGTTAAGCAAAGACACTGCCATTCCATCTGTTCAACCATTCATTGTTCTTCTTGCCTGCCTGGAAGTCTGCAGCTAAAATTGTGTTAAGGAGTTTACTGCTGAAGCTGCTACAGAAACCAATGTCTTTGTATTTTCCTGCTAACGTGAGTATTTGTGCTACTTTAATGCCTTGGAAGTTAAACTTTGCTAAATATTCAGAGTATTAATTTGAACTCTGCAAAAGAAAGCACCTCCAATGAAAGTCTACAAGTTATTACATAGTGCCAACATACCAGAAAGTTAAGTTATTTTTGTAAAATATGTCTGCAAAGCAGATTTTTACACTTTTCTATTCTAGAGTTATATAATTACTTATAGCATCATGAACATTTATAAGGCATTGAGCATGACATATAATCATTTGGAGCTTAAAGTCAAGTTATAATAAATGTTCCGATATTTTCGATAAATGGTGGATTTAAATCTTGTCAAAGTCTTAAGTTTCTTAAGATGTCACTGTCGTACCTAGGTGCTATAAAATGATAAGATTCGATAGAGCTTTCTGTTGTCTTAAAAGTCTAGCTTGGGAGATGGATTGATGTAGGTAGATGTTTCAACTCGTTTTAGATGCGATGATTAAGCATTCAGTTGCTTTGTCAGCAATCTCAGTATTCATGTACAGTTTCTCATTTCTTCACTCTCACCTTTCTTCTCCCTTACATTAGCTTCAGACAGTAGATTGAAGATGTCATTCCAAGAACTATTTTCTTCAAGAGTTCTGTAAAGGGGAAGGGAGGAAGAAACAAAAGACTTGCATCTATCAGTTGGGAGGGAAAGAAAGAGCATAAAGGGTTAAAAAGAGGTTTTCATTTCTACCACATGCCCTATTGTGCGAACATATGCATAAGTCTATTGAAAGTTTTCCGAAGATGGGCAGGCCACCAGTTGCTGGTCTCCTGCAGTTCCAGTAGACATCTGTTGCCCCAGAGCATTAACCAATCTGTTCAAAGGGACATCCCTCCTTTGTTAGCTAGAGGGATGCAGACAACAGCACTCACTCAAATACAATGGTAATTAAATACACAGAGACTACAGCAGTAGGTATTTATTACATATTCATTATTTTATTTTTATTGTTCTCATAGTATTACCATTTGGATAACAACCAGAACCCACTTTTATGGCATTGTAACTTTACATTACAAACAAATAAATCGGCTTAACAAGTTTATGGTCTAATATTCCTGATTGATAGGAGGCTCTTTAGAATAGAAAAAAAATTTTTTTAAAAATCTGATTTGAGATGAGGAATTATCCAAGTTAACTAATGAGAACTTTCAGAAAATTTGGTCACTAGATGGAGAAATTTCAGTGTGTGCAATAAATTTCTAGTGAATAGCCATTATATTTTAAACCTGCATTCAGCTAGTACAGTTTCTTTTTGATAATTAAAAGAATTAGCTACACTTCATCATCATCTACAAAATTAGCAAGAACATTTAGTTCTTTTTCAACAAATAATATTATTTACTTTTCAACTTGCCTTTTAGCAAGAAAAATTGAGTTTCCAATACCGTATCTGGAAGAAATTTATAGATTTATAATTATAGGAATCTTCACAAATCACTATATATTTACCCAATTCCTTTTGTATTCAAGACTATAATGTCTTAAGGTCAATTACAGTGAAGCCCTGATGATACAGTTTAAAAATTAGCTGTATTTCTTGGAGATTTTTGGTAACTATGGGAGTAAAAACTGACCTACTTTGTGAAACTTGGACTATGCTGCTTCATGAAATGAGCAAAATTACCCCTATTAGTTAATATTTCATTGATTACATTTAAGATGGTTTATATGAGTTTACATTGTAGTAAATGCAAACCTAAAAGTCTAATAATTTTTTAAGAAATGAAAAATATTTCTACTTTGCATGTCATAATACATTTTGTACTGTTAATGGTCTTTTCCATTCTTTTAAAAGTTTTATTAATCATTTTTTTAAAAATGAATGAAAATAAAGATTATATACCATTCTTCTTAAGTTTGTCATAGTAATTTCTTGTAAGTTTTACTTATTGCATTATATTAACAAATACAGCAGCCTATTAAAATACCATGTTTTTAAATCTTTATCATGTAGCTTTTCATTGAATTATTTCAAGACATTGCCAAATTCTGGGTTGCTTTTAGGTGCCCTATTAAGTAAGGGCAATCATTTGCTAATTACCAGTGGGTAAGGAAGCATTCTAGAAATCAAAGTTTTAAAAACCAAATCTTTACCATTTGGATCACTACAAATCAGGTTATTTCAAATTTGTAGTATGCTTATAAGCCTGGAAATTGAACTCATTTGTCTCTATTTGTACGGTTTCTATTTAGTTTCTTGTTTTGCAAGGACTAAAAAATAATTTAACTGCTTGTTTAGTACACAGTGACATTGGATAACCTTCTCTGAGCTAACCAATGAAATCTAGAAGATGAAGAGAGGCCTGTCAGTGTGAAAAAAGTTCAACTAGAATATTTTAAGACAAAACTTATTTGCCTAAAAAAATTGGATGTTAATTTCTTTTTAAGCAGGTTAGGCTTACATTTATCGTTAGCATTAAAAAGTCAGCCTAATTATTGTAAACTTTTTACTTAAAATTATGTGCAAATTACATAAATTATCACACGTTAAAAGTATGTGGTATCCACTAGATACATTTGTATACAAATGAGGTTTGTGTGATTTAGTTATTAAAAGAAACTGAAAATCCCATTTTCCCCCTTATATCATGATAGCCATATAATAAACCTACACGGTATAGCAGGTTTAGGTAGTATCACTGACACTTTTTAAAAATATTAGATAGAAGATACAGAAAGATTTAAATACTCTTTAGAGTGATTGATTTTCAGTTTAAAAACTTTGCAGTATTTAATTTTGTTACTTTGAAAAATGTGAAAATTAAGAATAATTCCAATTATCCTTTAAGCAGAACATTTTGTTCTAATATTTGCCACTGGTTATATTTTTCATAAGGTATTCATCTTGTCTGATGTAAAAAAAACAAAAAACAAAAACAAAAGCAAACCCCAAACTGCTCAATATTAAATAATATTTCCTAGGTCAACTCAGGGATTTGGTCAGCAAGTCATTATCTTGAAGAATTATCTCACAACAGCACTTGTACAAAACCCAAACTTTTCAGGGGACATCAAAAATGTTGCCCATTAAATGCACTTCCTGCAGTCAGAGCAGATTGTGGGGTTTACAGAACAATGATGTCGGAGCTTCCAGATTGGTTTGGCAGCTGCATTGTTCTTGGAGGGTAAACCAGACGCACTTAAGTCCCAGTCTCTTTTATAGGCTTTTGTTCATACCAAATTATTCTTTCACTGTGCTAGCATTCATGATGGCATGTTAAAGGAGTGCAGCTTAGCAACCAGCTTCTGGTTGCCAAGCAGCCCAGCTTCCAATAGGTTTTCCTCGTTTAAGATACTTTTGGTGGGAGCACCACGAAGGCCGTAGTGTGGACTTTTCTTTTAACTGTATCCCTTTATTAGGATGCTGCTGTGATTTGTTACTTGTATTATGGTGTTAGTATATCATAGTAGTTAATAAATCACAGGGTGTAAAAATCTGTTTTTAAAATTCCTTCCTTCAATTCTAAATAATTGGGCTCATGCATATCCATATTAATAGGAAAAATGAAGTGGATACAGCTTCATAATGAAGCAGATGTATATAGAGCTCTCCTAAGGGATATTTCTTTTTATGAGTTGGGCAATCCAGAGCTAGGGGAATTGATGTTTCTTTAAAACTAATGAATGCTGTATTAGTAGAACAATGATATTAAAGTTGTCTATCTTCTCAGGGAATAAGCCCTGAGGAAACTCCTGTAGAAGCATGTATGAGATCTACACTGAAGGAATGTTAAGTGTATTATCAAGCTGAAGATTCCATGTTCTCTTCTCTAGTATTTACCATAGTTAATAAAATGTATTTCATTACTTGACTCTCTAATTAAAGTTTACCAGGTATGCTTTCAAATTTGTGACTTCTCAGAAAATCACTTAGCATTTTCTTTTAACATTCATATAATAGCTATTTTCTAGTGTAAATATGATGTTGAAGAGCTTTAGAAACATTTTCTCAGTTTTCTTTTTCAGGTTAGTTTTAAATAGGTGTTTTATGGCAGTCTCAAATTCAACTGCCGCTGGCTTGCTTATGCTGTGTCTGGGTAGAATACTAGAATTGCCTTAACAAGTAAATCATGAGGGCAGGCGCGGTGGCTCACACCTGTAATCCCAGCATTTTGAGAGGCTGAGGCGGGCGGATCACTTGAGGTCAGGAGTTTGAGACCAGCATGGCCAACGTGGCGAAACCTTGTCTCTACTAAAAGTATAAAAATTAACTGAGCGTGGTGGCACTCACCTGTAATCCCAGATACTCAGGAGGCTGAGGCAGGAGAATCACTTCAATATGGGAGGCAAAGGTTGTAGTGAGCTGAGATTACACCACTGCACTCCAGCCTGGGCAACAGAGTGAGACTCCCATCTAAAAAAAAAACAAAAAAAAAAGTAAATCATTGATGTGGATGTAGTTCTTACAATGAAGCACCAGAGAAAATAGCTTTATTTTCCTAACCCATTCCTAGTAGAGAAATAACATTTCCAATAGTCTTTAAGGAAAAATAGTAAAATGGCAAAAAAAAAAAAAAAATTTAAATAGTAAAAGTATTCTTATATGGTGAAAAATAGGAAAAAAGATCACTTTTTAACCAAATGCAGATTAATGGCTAGTTAATCTGATATAATACAGGAGCATTTTCTGCCATAAAATTCAAGAAACTGAGATAACATTATTTAATATGCCTAATTGTTTGCTGCTAATTTTATGTGAGATACCATCTCTGCTTTCCACAAGTGCAGACAGAATAAAACAAGTTTTATTTTTTCCTGGAATGAAAGAGACTGTTGTTTCCCTGGCACTTAATAAGGATAGCATAATGCTAGAAAGTATATTGTGTTATCATGTTCCATAGTCAAAAAAATCATGATTACTAGGGCAAAACCCTGTTCATCTCTAAGAAGAATTTAACTCACTTTGTAATAATTTAATTCCATTCTGGCCATCTTAGAATATGTGCTCTTTCATTGCAGTATCTATATTATTTTTGAAAGTTCTTTAGATTGCTGTTAAGCTTCATCCAGATTAATAATGATTTTTCAAGTGTAAGTTAATGGTTCCTTTCCACGTGGTTTTCTCTTTAAAAGAATATAGATACTTACAAATTCTGTTAGAGAAAAATGTAAATAACCTGTCATGCATATTAAAAACATACTTTTTGATAATATTCTATGTGTTACTCTAGAATTATAAGCTGTCCTAAAAGTAGAAAAATCTGATTCATCGAGATTGAGAAGGAGCATGATATAGTGGGGAAAGCATGGGTTTTAGAGTCAGACGAAACTGGGTAAAAAAATCCACTTCTACTACTTATTTACTTTGTTGCCTTGGAGGAATTACATGACCTTTCTAATTTATAACTTCTTCTGAAAAATGGCAGATGACACTCTCTTGGCAAGGGTGTTAGGAGGGAGGAGAGGATGTAGACAAAATACAAAGTATTAATAGATATTCAGTAGTTGAGTAATTCTCTTCTGACTTCTCCATCGAGACAGAAATCAAGCCATAACTATGAAATTCTAAACATTTTACATTTTTCTCTAGGAATACGGGGTGCTTTGCATTCAGGAATATGGAAAAAACAGCAAAGTGGAGTCAAGTGCACGTAACAGCTTCATGGGCTTGAAGGCTCACCTAGGACATGACCTCGGCCACCTTTATGTGGAGAGCACTGACCCACAGTTAAGTCCAGCTGCACCTTGGTCAACAGTAGAGAGACCAAGTATGGATACCGTTAATGCGGGAAAGGATGAAAAAGAGGTGTCTGAAGAGAATGCAAGCTCTGGTGACTCTGAAGAAAACACAAATTCTGATCATGAGTCAGAACAATCGGGTAGCATTTCAGTAGAGCCAGGCTTAATAACTAAGACTCACAGACAACTCTGCAGGTCTCCCTGTTTACAGCCTCACATACTCAAGCGCAATGAAATTTTGCAAGACTTTAAACCTGAAGAGTCCCAGACTACATCCAAGGAAGCAAAGAAACCACCTGATGTGGTGCGAGAATACCAAACAAAACTGGAGTTTGCACTTAAGTTAGGTTATTCTGAAGAACAGGTTCAGCTTGTACTAAACAAACTTGGTACTGATGCTTTAATCAATGATATTTTGGGAGAACTTGTCAAACTTGGAAATAAAAGTGAGGCTGATCAGACAGTTAGTACAATTAACACTATAACACGGGAAACTTCTTCCCTGGAATCTCAGAGGTCTGAATCTCCAATGCAAGAGATTGTAACAGATGATGGTGAAAATCTGAGACCAATAGTTATTGATGGCAGCAATGTGGCAATGAGGTAAGTGGAAAAATCGTTACTGAAAATTACTACCAAATAATCTTTAAAAGTTATTTCTAATTTTGTGGCTATTTTCCTTCTCATAGTCATTAAAGTCAACATTTTTTCTGTATCCTGATGTTAACTTTAGAAAACATTAGTTTTCCGTCTCTCTTCTTTCAGGGCACTCAGCCCTATCTTTCCTTCATTTATCCCTGTATAGAGACCCGTTTTTCTCAGATATGTCTCTTTTTGTCCTCATCTGGCTAAATTTCTATGGTATAAAAATTAGTGTGTATTTCTGGTTTAGTATTAATCAGTAGTTTTAAATGAATAATTTGATATAATATTCAACAATTTTAGAATCTAGTCAAATGGTCTATTTCTTTAAGAAATTAAATAACCCTAATTCTTCTAGAAAATAAACTATGTATTTTATTGATTTGAGAAAAAACCAAAGGTGTAGTTTGAATTATTTTGTAGTTTGAGTTGTTTCCATTCAAGAAATGCAAATCAGAAATAATTCTTAGGGAACTGGGTTGGGGGGGGAAAGCAAAACTTTCAGTGATAATTTTTTTGGCCAGGCAGGGTGGCTCACACTTGTAATCCCGACACTTTGAGAGGTGAAGGTGGAAGAATCATTTGAGGCCAGGAGTTTGAGACCAGCCTGAGCAACATAGGGAACGCCTACCTATACCAAATATATATATGTATATATATATTTTTAAAATAAAATATTTAAAGAAATTTTTCTTAGTAATTTTGATGGCTTAATATTTAAAGCACATCTAAATTCAATCAGTTTATGGGTAACTGCTCACAATGTTCAGAGTGCTGTGAAGATAAAAAGATACATGTATAAAAGCATTAGTTCTTCTGGAGAGCTTAGAGTTTCATAGGCAGTTTCTCAGAAGGTGACCTGAGGATGCCTACCAGAGAATCATCTGAGGGACTTGTTGAAAATGCAGATTATATATATCAGTGCTATCCAAGAGAAATATACAATGCAAACCATGTATGCCATATTAAATGTTCTCATACCTACATTAAAAAGTAAACAGAAACAGGTAAAATTAATGTGACTAATGTATACTGTTTAGGCTAACATGTCTAAAATCTAAAATATCTTGCTGACATGTAATCAGTCAATTTTAAAAAGTTATTAATGAGATAGTTTACAATTTTTTTTTTTTTTTTTTTTTTTTTTTTTAGACAAGGTCTCACTCTGTCACCCAGACTGGAGTGCAGTGGCATTATCTTGGCTCGCTGCAACCTCTGCACCCAGGTTCAAGCGATTCTCATGCCTCCGCCTCCTTGAGTAGCTGGGACTCCAGGCACATGCCACTGTGCCTGGCTAATTTTTATATTTTTTAGTAAAGCCTGCGTTTTACCATGTTGGCCATGCTGGTCTCAAACTCCTGACCTCAAGTGATCTGCCCACCTAGGCCCCCCAAAGTGCTGGGATTACAGGCATGAGCCACCACTCCTGGCCTGCATTATTCTTTTGATTTTAAGTCTTTGAAATCTGGTGTATATCTTATAGCACATCTCAATTCAGAATAGCCATATTTCAGGTGCTCAGTATCCTGATGTGTCTGTTGACTACTATATTGGACAATGCACTTCTCAAGCCCCTTGCAGACCTACCAAGTCAAGCTCAAAATGTAACTCAGGCATCACTTTGTAAGTAGTATGCCTTCCAATAATGATGTATGCTGAAATTAGGGAACTACTGTTTTCTGTAGGTGACAGCAAGTTCTTTCACATAGACTATGAGGAGAACCAACCTATGATCCTCTAAATAGCTTTTTTGGGTGGAGGGAGTATTATCTTTCTTTCATTTATAAGCAAATTCAACAAGATTTGAATTACTTGCCAAGATAAAATGGAATTCAAACCCAAATATGTCTGACTTAAAAGCCTATATGCTTCTTCATATAAAAAAGGGAAAAACTAAGTTGAAAAGGTTAAAGCTAGATCTTACTAGAGAATTTAAAGCTGGCTTTGTAATCCAAGGGTCATTGAAGGGTTTTCAGTAGAGGAGTGTCAAGAGTGGAGTTGTGCCATATACTGATATTTTTTGCAGTGATGTATGGGAGGTAGGAGATCAGTTTGGATACAAACCCTTTCTAATGGAGTAGAAAGAATCTCGCCAAGTGTCATAGGGGTATGGAATGTGCATAGGGCTTTGAGAAGGACTTCAGTAAGATTACCTCTCTATTGTTTGATCTTTCCCAAACTTGACCACAAAATGATCTTTTTCTTGTAATAATCCAGAATGTCTGAATGATTACCTTAGTGATAACATGTAAGACCAAAAGCCATAAAATTGCCAAAGGAGGGAATAGTGAAGGAAGGTCATAGATCCTTGAGGAACACCTAACCTAAACATGGCTGTATAACAGAATTATCAGATGAGTTATTTAAAAATACATCTTCTAGCATTCTACTCTTGTGGAATATAGAATTAGTCTCTATCCACATGTACCCTCTAGTTTAAATTAATATATTTTCTTAAATGAATCCATTGCTTTCTAGATTTTTCCCTGGTTTTAGGTTCAAATGACTTGTCATTAAGAAAATACAATTAAGACTGGGCACAGTGGCTCATGCCTATAATCCCAGCACTTTGGGAGGCCAAGGCAGGTGGATCACTTGAGGCCAGGAGTTCAAGACCAGCCTAGGCAACATGGCAAAATCCCATCTCTACTAAAAATACAAAAATTAGCTGGATATGGTGGTGCATGCCTACACGGGAGGCTGAAGTGGGAGGATGGAACGAGCCCGGGAGGCGGAGGCTGCAGTGAGCTGAGATCACATCACTGCATTCTAGCCTGGATGACAGAGTGAGACCCCATCTCAAAAACAACAGCAGCAGCAACAAATTCTAGTGAGCTATCCAGAGTGGGAATGTGATAAAACGATGTTAGACCCCTTTGGTACCTAAAAGTGTTTGAGTTCTTCAATATACTTCCATGACCTAGTCATCTGACTTCATTAAGATTAACCAAATCTCCATATCCTACTTCAGCTTCTTCCAGATTTTATATAAAATAAGAATGAAAAAGCCCACCACTTCATGGCTACCTCCATATCATGCCATAGCACACATTCTTCTGTTGAGTGTTAGAATGAAAGCTGGCCACACCACTCTTGTGTTTTTGATATGAACAGACTGTTGAAACTTTTCCCTCCTTTATCATGGCAAGTTCTACCTTTTGGGCAGTGAACCCAGGTTTCTGGGGTTAGATCAAATCTCTCCCCTGACTGGTGGGTAGGCTTTATTTTTGCATGTTTGTGTGCAGTATTAGGATAAATGTTGTGTTTGCTAATAATCTCAGGTGAACCACTTTTGCCAATGGGATCCATGCTTGTATTTTCTCTCTGTTAGTGATAGGGAGCTACCAGAAGATTTCAAGCAAGGAAAAAAGTGGCATAGTAATATTTGCCTTTAGGAAAAATCACTCTGTAGAGAAATGTAGAGAATGGATTTGAGCACTAAGATTGGAGACAAAGAGACCCACTTATGTTTGAAAATATATGCAAAAGTTAAATTGTGGACAACTCCTGGAAAAAGATGCACCAAGAACATCATTGCTTTTGTATACCAATCAAATGATACAGAATAGAGAAATAAACCAACCATTTGCTTGAGAGTTTATACTCAGTTCCCCAAAGAGTCATATTGGAAAACAGCTGGTGTTAGTACACATCTGATTGTTAACTGGGGTGTTAAAAAAAGCACTGCAGGTAAATCACTGAAGTAATTTTCTTAAAGTTTGAACAGATATCAGATATAGATTATAGAGTCAGAATATGAACAGGGAAAATGCATTAAGCTGTGATAACTTTCCTCTGTATCAAGAAAATGAACTAAGCCCATATATTTATGAAATATAAGCAGAGTTTAGCAATCTGTACAATCAAGATTTAAGCTTCTGATTAATCTTTTAAAAAGTACAAAGCCTTTCTTATATCTAATCTGCTTTGTAAAACTGTATGAACTTGAGAACTCTTTTTATTATAAATTTGAATACTGAAGGCTTTCTTGCCTACGCTCTAAAATTTGCCTTTAGTTGTTTGGTTGGTTTTGCTCTCCTGTTGCCTGTTTATCATTTAAGTACAGCACTGATTTATAGTTACTAAAATCATCCTAGACACCTAGTCCAAATATATGGTTTAGACTACAGATGAGACTAAAAATTGCCAGAATTCATACAAGTGTGTTTTTTACTCTCTCAAGAAAACTGTATCAAAATTATGTGCAATAGACCTGCATGATCCACAGTAGGATAGCCACCAGCTACATGTGGCTGTTGAACTCTTGAAATGTGTCTAGCCCAAATTGAGATATGCTGTAAATATAAAATGCATACCACATTTCAGAGACTTAGTACAAAACTATGTAAACTATTTGAGTAACTTTTATGTTGATTGTGGATTTAAAGAATTTGATATATTGAGTTAAATGAAATACATACTAAAATTAACTTCAGCTGCTTTTTACTTTTTTAGTGTGCTATGCCTGATGATTTAAAACTGCATATGTGGCTCACATTATATTTCTATTGAATAGCCTCTTAGTAGACTGTTTTGTAAGCCCCAGTTTACTAGAAGTAACATTTATTAAAGGAAAGCTTAAATTCCCTCTAGGTGAGTGTCACAAGTATTACTTCATTTGGCAGTGCCCCATTTCTCTTACTGTTTTTAAAGAATATCCTTAGAGACTATGAAAAGAATCAAATAATCAGAGCTAGATTTGTTGTTGTTTAATTATATCATTGTGGAGCGTGACAAAGACAGATGTTAGAGTTATATTCCATTGCACCCCTTTATAATTCTAAGCACATAATTCTAGTTGTGATCATATCATGTACTTTAGTAGACCAATCAGCAGTGAACTTTCCTATTATCTCAAGTGTGCTTATTTCAACTCTAACCTAAAAATGGGCAACCTTAGTAATCCTATTACATAGAAATAAAGTTACACAGATCTTCACCTAACTAGTGTTACCAGTTAC